GATAGAATTAGTATTTTGTTGTGCTCATGTATAGGAATTGTAGCGATTGGAAATGCCGGCACTGCTACACAAACATCGTCTGTCCAAATAAAATTTAACAGAAAATCACGCACTTGATTACAACTTTCCAGGACCAACGGAAAAAGAGCCATGTGGCGTTCAAAATCTCCTGGTCTGAGTTGATGCATTCTTCTGAACTCAAAACAATTATTTCTTCCAACTCCCTATTCGTATTTGATTCATAATGAGTGCTTGTTTTGCTGGTATCTTTTTGGCAACACTGTTTTTGACAGATTACGCGTGAATCGTGTCTTGTGTCATTGTCAAACTTGTTCAGTTTGGTCTATAATTTAACCATGAATCGACTTACGAATGAACAACGCTTGCAAATTATTGAATTTCATTATCAAAATTCATGCTCAGTAAAGAAAGTGCATCGTGCACTTCTTCCAATTTATGGGCAGTTTCGTCGGCCTACTGAGAGAGCTATTCGGAAGTTTGTGACTGAATTTCGAACCCAATTTATATTATTGGACATTAAACCACCAACACGCATACGTAGAGTGAGGACCGAAGAAAATATTGCGGATATATCCGCCAATGTTCGTGATGACCGTGAAATGTCGATTCGCCGCCGTTCGCAGCAATTGGGCCTCTGTTACTCCACTGCGTGGAAAATGTTGCGAAATAATTTGTGTGCAAAACCTTATGAGATACAGCTGGTGCAAGAATTGAAGCCACACCACCTCCCACAACGTCTAACATTTGGTGAATGGCCCAATTAAGAGCAGCCTTCGGTGTACAGTTTATCTCACGTTTGGGGACCGTCAATTAAAAAATCTGTTTAAAATCTGTTTTTCCGTTAATCAGCTGCCGCCTAGATCGTGTGATTTAACCCTTTTGGATTATTTCTTGTGGGGTCATGTTGAAACTCATGTCTACAGGGATAAACCAGCAACGACTGATGCGCAAACGCTCTATATTTCAAGTATGCTACATTTTTTGTAAGGTAATTTTGAACTCTATAAAATATGCAGGAATTTACAGGGTGTCTCATAAAAAATAGTTTTCTAATAATAACTATTGATATCCTATTTGACAAAATTCGTTTTACACACCAATGAATTCTACGTAAAAAAGTGCTTTGAAAATGTTTTCATACATTCTAGGAATTTTTGAAAGGAAAAAAGTTACAGCTACTTTTCGAAAATGCACATTTTCGAAAAACATACTGTAACTCAGAAGCAATGATAGATAGATATATGTTTTTCACCTTTAAGTTTATCATAAAATTTGACCCTCAGAAACAGTCATCAGTTTTCATTTATCTAGTTTGAAAACATTAGTTTCTTCTTGAAAGTGTTCAATTTGGTCCATTCTGTACATCCTTATCCTGTACAACCACTTTATTTCCTGGATTTTGTAATAATAATAATATTAAACGTTTTCAATACTACAACAACAAAAAAAAAACACAATAATAACTTCTAACTACATAGATATAAAGTTATAGTAAAAGGCGACGTTCAATTATCGTAGCTAGACAAATAACTGGTAAACTGTTCTTCCACTCAACCTAATGAAGTATTTGCATAGGTATTGAAGTAGCATAGCATTTACATAAGTATATAAATACATGAATGAAAATCAGTGACTGGCGATAATACAAAACTAAGCAAACAATTTTTGGGTCATGAATCACTCATTGAGGAAAAAAATTGAAGATAAAAGAAGATAGAAAAGCGAAATGGTGGAAAGTTCATCAGGTTATTGATTTTGAAATAGATAGAATTTCAATTTGATTTCAAACTGAGAGGGTGGCTATTTTTTTGAAAGTTCAGGAATAGCATTGAATANGTCTTTTTAGCTTTGGAACTGAAAAATTAGTCAAAAACTCCAAGTAACGTCCACCGGTTAATGTTTCGTTGTAAAAATATGGTCCAATTATGCGATTATTTATAATCCCTGCTCAAAGATTTACTTTTCTGGGATATTGAGTGTGGGCCTCCATCATCCAATGGGGATAGGGAACTTTGATTTGTGTCGTAATCGGCGGCAAAGTAGGTTTATTATTATTATTACTATCAATACACTCCTGCCTGGTTTTGAAATATCTTTGACAGTCCCAAATTTACGAAATTTCGTTTCTATTCTACTAACGGTAGATTGAGAAATGTGATGATCAGGAATATTTTTTATTGAAAATTTCACTTACATCCCAGTAGTATTAACACTTCTACTCTTTGACGTTCAGTCAAATGAGACATTGCTAGAATTTTTAGCCTATTGTCTGAAAGTAATACTGAACAAGAAACACAAACAACAACTGCAAAACTGTTTCTCTTCAGCAAGTTCACAGAAAACATACAATTTTTTACTCAACTGTCACGGCTGACAATTAACGGTTGGTTAAAACAAACAAAAAAATTGAAGGTGAATGGCATATTTTACAGCGGGCGGATTCAATGGTGATACATTTCAACACTTTAAATTTTTTGTTTCATTATGACGCATGCACGAAATAAAAAAAAAGATATTGCTGTACAGAAAATTGAATACCCTTCAAAATGAGTTATCACTTGCATTTTAAAAAAANCCTTAATTTGGTGAAGGAGGGTTTTTTATGTCTTTCAGGGTTTTTCTTCTAATAACGTAGAAAATGAATTTATCCGTTACATATGGTGCTCATTATATAACGTTAAAGAAATTGATATTGAAAAAAATCGTTAACTTCATTTTCGATAAGGTATAACTTCATTTTCAGTAAAAAAATCTCGGAATTTCAATTATATTTCAGGTTTCTCAAAGGCACTCGGTTCTAGCAATCTCTACGAGCGGACGAATGTGAAAATTTTTGGTTATTGTCCCGGTATCACACAGACGAATATGTTGAAGGATGTATCGAACAAAACGATCAATACAAATTTCGCGAGCGAGTTTCAAGAGGAAATCGAGAACTACAAAATTCAAAATCCTCAAAGCGCCGCTAAGGGGTTGTTAGAAATCCTTGAAGAAGCAAAACCTGGATCGATATGGATTGCAGAGAATGATGAGCCACCATATGAAATGAGTTTTCAACCTGTTTTCAATCGTAAGAAGAACAAAGCAGCAGAAGAAATGGGATCGTAAATAGTATTACATATTTTGTGTAAATTTATGATTTTTACAATACAGACAGGTACTCATCAATTTTACCTTATGTTGAATTTTTACAAAATTTTCGATTGAAATTATTCGTATACTGAAGTTTTATCACAACACCAAACCGTCATTTCAACACTTCGACACGTGTATCGATCACCAAGTGATCATCTTCAAGAGAAAGATAAAAGTAATCAATAACTTGGAGATCCCATATTTTGAAATTCTGAGTTGTTTGAAAATTTCAAAAAAGTTTAATTTTTCCCAATAAGAGAACAGTCCTCAACACAAATTTTGAAGTGACAATTTTACAAAATTCCCAACTTTTCGCTGTTTATTCGACTTGGAAAAGTTGGGAAATTTTGGGCCGTGAAGATAGAAGAAAAAATAGTTTGTGCATACCCTAACCGTCATGAGCATTCAGCCAATCTTTGGATAGCTAAGTAAGAAAATCAATATATTATAGTAGTAACTAATTCCTAGGCTTTCATTTTTTCGAAAGTTGGGAAATTTCACTGGTGGGGTTGGGAAAATTTGGATTCCCTCACCCCTGGTTTTTCTTTTCGCTACGGCCCTGCGTGAGAAGGTATTTTCTTCTCTTATCCAGATAAGAAATAACTACTAGAAGGTTTGCGTGGAATGAATCTCATCGCATCAGTGCATGAAATTATCATTTACATACCTACAATATTAATATGAAAATAATAAATTCCATACACGAGAAAATCAAACACATTTCATGAGAATTTCCGTCATCTGTGACTCCAATTATTTTTTTAGGAGTACGCCACTGCTGAAAATAATTGCATCATTATAATCAAGATGATTTAACCTTGGGAATTAGATGGCCACTCGTAATTAAAACTGCCTTCTTCATTTATTGATCATTGTATGGTAAGTGCTCTTGATTTTTAAATACTTAATTGCTCTTTTTCATGCTGCCTCTACAATCAAAGAACTTCATTTGTCATCCATCTCTCCGGGATATAATGAACCAATCATACCCTGCAAATTGAATTTACATTATTTATTGAACACGCAATCTTCACAATGCGCTATCTCTAGTAAAAGATGGATAATAATCAAGATTACCATGATATTCAGAGGAAATTAATTGGTAAGATTTTTCCAAGGCCACCTAACAAACTTGAAGGATATTCTTCAATTGTTCTCATATGACAGCACTTTTGCAATTTTTTGCCACTTATAAAATTATGATATATCAATTATACACTATTCGCAGCCACACACAGTCTACAACAGTCTTCAAGTGTGCCCCTCCACTATATAATAATAACGATAGTGATAATAATCCCCAAAAGCGGAAATTTGTAGATTTCTAAGAATTACAGACCCGTAACATGCTTGAATTCGTGTTATAAGTTGTTTACAAGCATCTTATACACACGAATACTCAGTGTTCGAACACTATGTTCGAACCGAGTGTTCGAAAGGATATAAGAGCAAAGAGGGTCGAAGAGAGGAATCTCTAGATGTAAAGAGAACATGCGTATCCATAGATGGATAACGCAGGGCTCGATACATTCTAAGCGTAACCTCTCTATGGCCTGGATCGATTACCGCAAGGCATTTGATACAAAACAGCTCATCTTGCATTTGCTCAGATGCCTTGCGGTACCCGACAAAATAGTGAGATGCATTGAACAACTGTCATTATTCGTTGTGCTCAGAAATACTCGAGGGTATAACTTGTGCCCCGGAAACCGGAGGCACAACGTCACCCTTTTGTTTAATATAGATTATCTTAAACTTTATACCTCTGGAGAGAAGGATCTCCATCACTCCTTGGGGGGTGGTGGAAGAGTACACACATGCTATCGGTATGAAATTCGGGATAGACAAATGTGCAATTGTCCATGTCAAAAGAGGACGATGCGGGGACTAGATGGAAGCATCGCACACCGTTTATATGCCGGAGAGACGTATACTTACTTCGAGGTTCGTATACCTAATGCACTCGCTAACAGCATGTCCATCATATGCGGTCTCGGCCTATATCCATCGACATAACGCGGCCCTAAGAGTGCTATATTACGGTATTGACGAGACACCGGTGTCACCCTACGCTTCGGGGAATATTGAATCCGTTTTGGGGAACAAGAAGTACCGCATTTATTGGAACTATTCGTTCCCACCCTCAGGCTCATACAAGCTAATAAGCCTGATGTAGTCCTTCTCGACGACCAGAGCAAAACGATATTTGTCGTGGAGTTTTCAGCTCGTGATGAGACTAACATCCACAAAAAAAGAGAGGAAAAACGGATATTTCATCGAGATTTTCTCTGCAGACTCTATCCACACCACTCTGTCAAGATGGTTGTGGGCCTGACCAGCGCACACTTTGCAAAAAAAATAATATAATAATATAATAGTAGTAATGGTTTTTAGTTTGTCATTATATATAAATAAAATAATTATTCAATCTATAAAAGTAATAGAAAACATTACAAATGAGGCTGGAAACAACATATACCGGAAGGATACTGTTGATCTTAGTTCTGGAAGAAAAAAAACTGAACTAGAGAAAAAACAAAAAAAAAGAGGAAAAAGTAAGGAGAGAAAACATGTTGAATGTTTATACTGAAAATTTTTCAGAAGTCTATGAAATCAATGACTTTCTGATTGAGCAGCGACGAGATATTTTTGTAACAGCACTTAAATAAGGAANACAAAACGTCAGGTTAATTTCAATATTGTAACTTTTTCAGTGCTTGTGAAAAAAATTGTTATACAAATTTTATGTACCCCCTTTAAGGGGCTGTATCTCAACAAGAGATGCTCCAATGAAGTTTCTTTTTATAAAAGATCCTATCTTTTTTTGGATGAGGAATCACCTCCTCAAATGTTTTACACTTCTTCAGTTACATCCTGTATATACCAAAGACATGATTTTTGCACTTTTCCAATTATAAAAATGTATTTTTATCCCGGCATGAACCGTACACAGCATCACCAATATGCAAATCGAGCGCATTTATTAATTTCATTTTCAAACTTATTGATGATAAATGACGATGAGGATAAAGCATTTTCAAACTCATGTAACTTCTTTGAACACATTTTGTGACATGTTTTGTAAACTTTAAATTCATGTCCATTTCGAAATCTAAATTTTTTGTCACGTTCGTGGGGCATATTACAGTATCATCAATAACAATATAAATACAGCTTTTCACCAAGCTACGATTAGTACCAAAACAAGCAGATTAGTTTTATTTGAATACATTTTGGGGTTATGAGCTTCAGATGCTGAAATGAGACGAGCTAGATCTTAATTCAAATTTCGATTAGCTGTAGCAACGTCATTAGGCTTGAATGATAGATATAGTTGTGTGTCATCCGCATACATATGTGAATTACAATGTCTTAAAACAGAAACTAGATCACAAGTGTAAACGCAAAATAATAAGGGTTCAAGTATAGATCCCTGAGGCACTCCTAATTTAATAAATTCACTGCTTGATTTTCCTTTCGCATTTTTTACAAACTTTGAACGATATTTAAAATTGTTTTAATAATTAAATTTATGGCAGGTTCGAGAACCCGATAACTAAAGTTATCAAATGCCTTGGAGAAGTCTATAAGTAGGTATTAAAGCAGTCGTGTTACCTTTATCAGCAGATTCGGAAATATCATCAGTTTTCAAGAGAGCAGTTGCACAGCTGTGTTCTTTACGAAACACTGACTGCTAGTTATCAATTTACCATGATATTGAAAAAATAAGTAGGTAAGAGGGTAAGGGAGAGCTTCACAAGTTTTGGGGGGTAAAAAATTCTTGTTGGAACGCCCCGTATAATATAGTTATAGGCCGTAAATTCCAATTTTAACAAAATCCGTCTTATGGAGAAGACAGACGACCGAACGGATCGGTCACATCGCGTTACATACGTCGACACCGAAATACCGTATTCCGTTACTCTGAGATAAAAAATACAGGAAGTGTATTCCTCGCGGCATCAGGTTCACCTCCAAATGTTATCGGATTATCTTACCTTAATTTGAATACAACTTTCCCACATTGCAGATAATAACTGTACATTTACTGCAACCACAAAGGTACAGGCAGGTTCATCAACTTTCAGGAAAAAGTTATCATTGAAATGTTTATCTGTGTAATGCCTTCTTTGAATATCCACTAGAAGTTTAAAAAAAATCACGGGATCATTATCACTTGACTGACTCGATTTTGGATCAACAGAATACGACGCTGATTGATTTCGTTACAGTATAGTTTGTGTTTTTTTATTGAATACCTAAACATATCGAAGGTTCACTGGAAAATGGTATTTTCAAACAATTTTAGAGAGAATTTGAGGTGCTGCTGATTGAGTGTGTTGCTTTGAATCGAAAGTTATCTGAAAACAGGCAGCAGATAACACAAGATGAGTTCTCTCTTAGTTATTATGATCTTAATGACATTTTTTATTCAACATCTACATTATAGATAGACTGATTTGCAGATGACACCAAATGATAACATAAACGAATTCCGATTCTATGCCAATTTTTCTCTACGAATTCAAATTGAACTACGGCGTTGCCGATATAGACCATAAATTTGACCAGGCACTGGACTATGATAGTAGAGATGAACGCCCTGTTCGATGTTGATTTGCGAAAAACAGTGTTAGGAGATCGGAAATGTATTTAAAATTGTATCCGGAAAGAAAACAACCATATCGAACTATGTTCAATGTATTAGATCAAAATCTCACCGAGTTTGGTTCGTTTGGAACCTAACACGTTCTAACACTGTTTCTAATCTCTTTTTTCTTCATTCGTGAAAGCCAATTTTCGCCAAAAATTCAATGACTTGTACAAAATGTCATTGAGTGTAACAAATTGAAAGTCAAATTCAGAAACATCAAAGTCAAAACCTATTATGACAAGAATTATTTTGTTTCAATATCTTCAATTTTTCGAAAAAGAACTATAACTTATGAAAAGTTAAAATCTGGTTATATTCA